AAAAAAAAAACTCTAATTATCCTTTAAATTTGAATTTCAAAATTCAAATTTCCCATTAATATGGAAAATCATTAACATAATATAAAGTAAAAATAGAAAACGTAATAGAATTTTAAAAACTCTAAACAACATATAGCAATTCAATATTAGAAGGATTTTAGAAAAAAGCAAAACGCACAATTGATCAATCTAATGCAACATGTATTTTAGAAGATGTTAGTTTTATACTGGATCATTTATTTGTCTATTTTTATTATTAGGAATTGGTATATTTACATTTTATTAATGGTTGAATATCTCTTCCTTTCGTTTTGTCTTTTTGAACCTTTTGCCTTGAGTATTTACATGTAACGTTAAACATATGTATGTATAATGTATTTCTAAATAATAATATATGTATGTAATGTTAAATATATTTACATATGTGTAAATGTATACATTTTGTATTTATGTATATGTTTGATGTTGATTATATATAATGTATCATAACCTATATTTATACATTTGCTTTTAAATCGTTGTACAATTTACATTGGTTAGTTGATTGATCCTCCATACATTACTATTTCACAAAATTTGTTCTTGAAATACTATCTTGATTTTAAGGTAATCATCTCTCCAAATGTTTATCATTCAACATATATAAAAAAATATTACTCAAAATCATAAATTTCATTAAAAAAAAATTGTGGTGCAGGAGACAATGATTGTTAAAATCTTGGCATAATTAGAGACACCATGCCTCATATTCATTAAGATCATTTTTAAAAAATCATTGTATCAAATAAAACCCTGCTTTATGTAGGATTGACTAATCTATCTATATCTATACTATATTATTAAGCAAAATCAATTTTTTATTAGTTCTAAAACATTTATTTAAATTTCTTAATTTTTTAAAAACTTGTGAACCTTAAACAAATACAAATGGCATGAAAATATTAGTCCATCTAATCACATCTATGATTTTAGAATTTAAAAATCTTAATGTAGAAAGTAACAAAAAAAATCATATCTAACTCATATCTAATTTGAAATTTTAAAATCTTTGAAAGGAAATTTCAAATATAATTTTAGTCTCATATAATTTTAAATTTTAAAAATATTACTTCAAAATTTTATATTTTTATTTTTGAAAACTGAACATGTGGTGTCTAAAAAATCAAGAATTTTTTAAGCCTCAAAATATTTATAGCACATTTATTAAATAAATAAATAATTTCGGCACGACACATGTAAGAAAATTTTTATGCCGCATCAAAAAATACATGTGTTGTGTTTAAAAATGGATGTGTTTTTAATTGTATATTTTAATCATATCTAAGGCTTCTATTTGTTATTTTTAAAAATTAAACATGCCTGACATAAAATATACATGGTATAAAACTACGAATTTATCTAATTGTTTTTTTTTAGCATATTTCCTGTGCTATCATATGATAGCATATTTCCTGTGCTATCAATTAAAAATTAATTTTAAAATTGAATAATAATATAAAATTTATTAAAAATGTATAGAAAAATAGTTTAGAATGAATTAAATTTTAACCATTTCATTAGAACATATATATATATATATATATGTTCTAATGAAATGGTTAAAATTTAATTCATTCTAAACTATTTTTCTATACATTTTTAATAAATTTTATATTATTATTTAATTTTAAAATTAATTTTTAATTGATAGCACAGGAAATATGCTATCATATATGTATATATAATGATATTTTGAATTGTGAACTTATCATTTCAAATTTTAAAATTTATCAAGATGTATTTTATTTATAAAAGTGCCACTGTTGTACAAGAATTCTGGAATAATAGAATTTTCCTTTAAATATTATTTTATTTGTATAACATTATCATATAAAAATAAAATGGACAGATATGTAAAATAATAAATGAAAAGGGGATTTTGGTACCACTAGGAAAAAAAAATTTGTTTAGTTCAATACATTTATTATTTTCTTGACTCTCTATAATAGTGGAAATGCATTGGTACTTGTTAACAAAACCCTTATAATTTATAAAAAGCAAAACAAAAAATGGTCAAGTATACAAAAATAAATATATTTTGTGAGTTGCAAATATAGTAGTCATTGACAGAGGGTGAACGGATGTGGTAGCTGACAATGGGGGTGGTTGGAGGTGATTGTTGGAGTTGGTGGCCACGGCGACAGGCGATGATTAAGAGTTGGTCACACGAAAGGTGGCTTGGAGCTCGCTCATGGTCAGTTGGAAGGTGGTTGGAGGTTGTCGAATGTCAATTGGAGTTGTTGGAGGCCTGTGGTGATGGAGGAAGAACAAGTAAAAACTTATTTCAAAAATAAATAAAAACAACTTTTTTGTTTTCATATAAAAAAAATTCAATTAATTTTACATCTTTAAAAATATAAACAAAATAAAAAAAATAGAAAAAATAAAAAACAAGAAATGGAAGTGTTAGCAAACTGAGGCATTAGTGATCAAAACATTTGTGATAAGTTAGTCGAAGACACATACAGTAAATTGGTGGATAAAATTTTTCAAAAGTGAGTTTCACCAACCAATCTTGTAAAATTCTATCCGTTAATTTGTTTTATGTGTCAAATCAATTATGGAGTGTTTTGAAAAGATTATTAAAAATTGATTTTTTGACTTTTTTTAACTTTTTTTACTGTTTTATTTGAGATATGATGTGACTCAAAATAAGTTAAAAATTGACTTTTACTTTTAACCCATGTTATCAAAATGGATCTATGTATTAAATTTTTGTATTACAAGATTTTTGAGTCTTACAATAGATTTAGGGATTCGAAAATGAGGATGAAAATTGTCGCCAGTGTTGATGAAGCCAAGAGATTTTTGGGCACGAACTGTGGCCTGTGCTCTTATTAGAGCTTGCATACTACGAAACATTGCAGTGGCTTGTTTACGCACCAAATAGCCTCTAACATGTGCTTGTATCTTCACTAACCCTTTTAGTGCCTTCAGTGCTCTTCTCGCCTGTATAAAATTTAAAAATAAATACTATACAATACTTTGCTTCACTAAAATAAATATAATATTAGACAAATTATAACATTAGTTGCTGATAAAAAAAATTATAACATTAGTCACTATAGTTTATTCAATTTGAATCTCATACTTTTAATTTTGTTATAATATTGTGCCTGTTTGGTGCAGCTTAAAAGCTGCTTATTTTAGCTTTCAGCTTAATTTAAGCTATTTTGATGTGTTTGGTTTAACTTAACAATACAGCTTATAGCTTTTTGTAAGTCAGAAATCAACTTATTCTTTGATTAGAGCTTGCATACTACGAAACATTGCAGTGGCTTGTTTACGCACCAAATAGCCTCTAACATGTGCTTGTATCTTCACTAACCCTTTTAGTGCCTTTAGTGCTCTTCTCGCCTGTATAAAATTTAAAAATAAATACTATATAATACTTTGCTTCACTAAAATAAATATAATATTAGACAAATTATAACATTAGTTGCAGACAAAAAAAAATTATAACATTAGTCACTATAGTTTATTCAATTTGAATCTCATACTTTTAATTTTGTTATAATATTATCCATCTATCATGTAGGCCAATAAACGAGAAGAACTTAGCTAAATTTTTGAGTGTTCAAATACATTTGCTTAGAATTAGTCGAGCCTGAGCTCGAATCAAGCTTAAATAATGGAGCTCGAGTGCTGTTCATTAAGGCCTCGTTTGAGAACATACTTTTTTAGTAACTTTTTAGCTTTTTGATTAAAATATGATGTAAAAAAATTAGAATGTTTGAGATGACTTTTAAATTTTTTACGAAAAGATGTGCAAAAAATAGAGAGAAAAGTGAATTTTTGACTTTTTTGTATAAGTTGTTAGTTTTTTAATTTTTTAATTTTTTTTAGTGACTTTTTAACTTTTAAGCTAAAAAGTGATATTGCCAAATGAGGCCTAAGTATTTGAAAAATTTGAACTCGGCTCAAGTCAATGCAATTATATAAACGAGGTAAGCTCGAGTTAAAATTCAACTTAAATTAAATTGTTTATTAAGATAAAAAGAAAAAAATTAAGAGGAAAATATAAAATAATGTTTAAATTAATATTTATCAATTAAATATGTAAATTTGAACAAATACCAAACACAAATAGAATAATAAAATAAATTTATAAAACTTGACTTGATATGTTATTAAAAACAAATATTAATACATTTCTTTATATTCACAAGTCTTATCAAGTTAAGTTAGATCTATTAAGCACGGCTCAATTACTAAAATTTGAGTACCAACTCGTTCATTTTATAAACGAATCGAATTTAAACGAGTTTTAAACAAGTCAAGCTCGCTTAATTCGTTTGCAACCCTATATGCAAATAATAGTTTGAATGGAAAAGTCCATGTAAAAAATTAAGGAATTAGAATGGAATTCCAAAAAAAATATACATCGGTCTATTTTAGGAAGTAGGTTAAAATCAATTTTTTAACTTTTTTTAAAAAAACGTGTAAAAAAAATAGAGAATTGATATGATTCAAAAAAAAATTTAAATTAACTTTTTAACTTTTAACCCAATTGCCAACATAGGCTATGTATAATTTTTTTTTTAAATTCCACTATAGTACCTTTTTCCATTGAAAAATCTTAACTAACAAGGGATCATATTACAATAAGATTCAGGTTATTCAAATAAAAATTAATAATTAAAATGAAGCTTTCGTTGTAATTTACCTTAAAACATTTTCTCAAAACACAAAAAACAAAGTACTAGAAGAACATGACAAGTTTACCAAATATCCGCGAAAAACAGACTGAATCTTGAGGGCAGCCCATCTTTCACGACTACCACCTCCAAACATGGTGGCTCTGCCGTGACTACTAGTGAGCCTAACAGCAGCCACCACCGCCTTGGCGGCAGCAATGGCTGCATCTGCTGCGGCGGAGGTGGCGGCAGCAACCTCCATTGCCTGCTTTCTCTGCAGTTTTTTGGCCTCCATAATGTTTGGTGGTATGGTTTCCGGATTTGAATCTTGAGGGCAGCCCATCTTTCACGACTACCACCTCCAAACATGGTGGCTCTGCCGTGACTACTAGTGAGCCTAACAGCAGCCACCACCGCCTTGGCGGCAGCAATGGCTGCATCTGCTGCGGCGGAGGTGGCGGCAGCAACCTCCATTGCATGCTTTCTCTGCAGTTTTTTCGCCTCCATGATGTTTGGTGGTATGGTTTCCGGATTCTGACCCGAACCACTGGAGTCTTTCCCAGAGTGGCCAAGACTCCAGCGGTTCTTGTCATTCTGCTCACCGGAATTTGAGTTCTCCTTTTGTTCTTTGTCTTTCTTTATCCCAAACAAGGTCTTCAACCACTTGGTTGTTCTACCCATTTTGGTCAGTGTGATGTGAGGGATAGCAAAGAGAGAGAGAGAGAGAGAGAGAGCGAGAGGGAACCAAGGTCTTCAACCACTTGGTTGTTCTACCCATTTCGGCCGCTCTTTCCAGCCGCGCTCCCAGCAGCGCTACAAAACGACGTCGTTTTGTGGCTAAAAAACGACGTCGTTTTGTTTAGTTGGTTTTTTTTTTTTTGGTTCCGAAAAATTCGAATTTCCCGCCTGATCGTTTTTGACTTCATCTTCTCTGTTTTGTTTTGCCCTAACAAACGACGCAGCTGGATAGAGAGAGATAGAGAAGAGAGGCGCTGGAGAACGGAGAGAACAATGGTGGACGGAGTGGACGGTAATGGAGAGAGGTTGGCGGTGGGACGCGAGTCCGGCGGTGACGCGACGATGGCGGAGGGACGCGAGTCCGGCTGTGACGCGACGATGGCGGATGGACGCGAGTCCGGCGAGGTAAATTTCAGTCTCTGTGTTATGTATATATGTATATTTCAGTCTGTGTATTTACATTTTGTATGGATAATCAATGTATACATTACAAATATGTCAGTGTATATATGTCAGTCTGTATTTGTATGTATTTTGTATGGATAATCAACTTTATTAATTTTTGTTGTTTTAATATGTGAATAATAGATAATAAAATATTAATTTTTCTGCAACCCAGATAGAAAAATTAATAAAGTTGGGAAATAATTGATGGGTTACAACTCAAAACTGGTATTGATAAACCTTGCTGAGCACCACCTAACCCAACTGCCTGCCCATTCTCCTGGGAGCTCGGTAGCCGAGCAGTATCATCTCGGCCATCGTCTGCCATGCTGCGCTTCATGCCCAAGTACTCCAACAGCTAAGCTCAGATGAGGACTGGACTCGGCGGCATCTCGGCAAAGCCGAGCTCGGGGCAACTCACGCTTGTCTACGATCGACCTACCTGCCGAGCAAACAGGTACCTCGGTCCAACCTTGTCTTTCCTGGCGTTGGACTTTTCACCTGACCGGCATCGTAACCACGGATCCTTGCAGCTCGGTCAATTCACGCGCTGCCTTAACCGAGCAGCTTCCTTCAAGGCCGGGCCACACAACTTGGCCCAACACCTGTTCGGTCCAAATCTACCCGGCACAACTCTGTCCGGCCCAAATCTGTCTGGCCCAATTCCATATCATTATTCTCCCTCTCAATTGCCCCTTAATTTCGTCCGCTGAAGCGTGACTGGAATTACCCATCCTGACCGGGGTAATACTTCCTCGGTCCTTAGTACGCAAAATGGCGACCGAACTAGTTGACATTCCTGTCTTCAAACCTTGCCCGGTTCAACTCCTTGGTTGACATTCCTGTCTCCAAAAGTTACCCGGTTGACCCCTCGACTCTTCATCCTGTCTCTTGAGTTCTGATGCTGCCATAAATGGGGACACGTGTCAATCCTCTGTTGGTCCTCGAGCAGCCAACCCAGCCGTCCCCTCAATTTTGAATTTGGGCGGCCTCACCGCCCCAATAAACATGCGTCTTCCTTCTTCCTTTGATCCTTACTGACTCTCTGGCATTCCAAGCATTTCGAAGCTGCAGTGCCCTCGTCAAGCTTCTATTCTCGTTCCTGCTCTGTGTTTGCGTTGGAAGGAACTGCATTTGCACCAAATCTTGGTAAGTCTCTTCGAGCTTTCGCTATTACATTTGTTATTCTACACTTTAGGGCACCTATTCCTTAGGTTTTAGGATTTAGGCATACAGAATCGTCCCAATCCCCTTACTGTTCATGGTGTTCTTCATTTTCGTTGATAAACTTCGAAGATCTGGGAACGACCGGGCTCCAGGTCGTCCTTAGATCCAAAAAAACGCTTAGACCGAGCTGAGAACCTGTTCGCCCCGACCTTAGTAAAAACCGGGATAGCCAAAGGAGTTGGTCGCTCGACCGGACTAACATCTTGTCCGCTTGGGCGACCGAGCTCCGTGGTTAGTCTTTACGACCGAGGTGGTTTGGCACTCTTCATGACCGAGCTAAAGTCAAGCTCGCTTTGCGTGACCGCGCTTCCTCTTACACTTGCCATCCTTTTCCTGCAGAGTCCAAGTGGACCACTGACCATTACCGAGGTTAACAAAGACTGGTCAGCCTCCAATCACCACTGTGCCAAACCTCCTAGGCTATACATGGGGAAATTTCGGTTCCTGGTAGATACTCCGGCTACTCTGGCCGCGTTTAGGGAGGAGTACGGCATCCCAGCCGACGTCCACCTTGAGCTTGCAGAAATTGAGACAACGCCTTGGGGCAGAGAGTAGTGCCCCTTTACCGTGCTATCAATCATCGAAGGAGACCTTCGTTTCCCCCTTAACCCATTGATTACAGAGTTCCTGTGCCGCACCGGGCTAGCACCCACTCAAGTATCCACTAACACCTACCGAATAATAAACGGTGTGCACGAGTTTAACAACCGACTAGACACTAACTTAGGTTTAGCCGAGATACTGCGGCAGTACACCCTGGGGCACACCGGTGACGGCCTCACCTATTACCTTAAGATTAGGCCGGGCAAAGAAAAAATCGTGACCGGAACACCAGACAAGGACTTGCACGATGACGATTTCTTCTGGGTAACCGGCAATTATGAAACAGCCGAGGTACCGGGCTGGTTCATAAGCAAGAACTTCGGTTCCACATGTAAGCCGTGCTATCTTATTCGGTCAATTCACTTTATTATTCTGCACTTAACCATTCTTCCTGTTCCTCTTGCAACAATTCAAGCCTTGCAAGCAAACTACCAATACCCCAACGTAGAAGCAATCCGGACCGTGCTCCGCTACAACCACCGAGATTGCAACGAGTTACTCGGTTACACGCCAACCTACAGATACTCTGCTCCCCGCCGGAGTAAAGTTACAGACTTTCTTCGTACTCCATCACCTCCTCCAGATCCAACTTTGCCAGACGTTCCATTAATCCGGTTGACAGAAGAGCAAGAGATGGCCAAACGAAGCCAAATCAAAAACCTGCTCACCGCAACGTCTGCCGAGATACCGAGCGTCGCCATCCGCTCGCCAGCCGCCGGTCAGTCAAGTGGCGTCGTGGTCGCCCTAGCTTCTCCAGCTGCCGGGTAGTCAAGCTAAGCAACATGCCGGGCTGGCAAAAGAGCTCGCGCGGACCCGTCTGCCGAGCTGATTACCGAACTATCCACCGAGCAACCTACCGTCACCGTTGACCCAACACCAATCTGGCGTCCGCTACTCAAGCACCGGGGTAAAGACATCCCGGCGACAGCTTCGATCAAGGGCGACAAAGAGCACCTGCTCGCCTACGATCTTTCCAAGGCCCTTCTCCTACCGAGCGACGTGTCCGGCAGTGACCACGTCCTTGACACCCGGTTGGTGAAGTCGTCTGTCAAGTCCATGGCCAGGGTAAGCTTCAATCTGCCTCTGAAATTTTCACAAGTGTTTGCACGGTTTCTTCTCTGATCAGGTTTCCTTTTTGCAGGCCATCCAAAAATAACACTTAGTCATGGAGCGCATCCACCGACTTCGGGAAAAGGCAACCGGCACTGCCAGCCAAGTCCAAAACCTCCAAACCGAGCTTGGCCGAGAAAAGTCCTCGCTTGAAATCGCCAATACCGACAATAATCGGTTGCTCGGCCAACTCAACGAAGCCGAGAAAAAGAGGGACGAGCTCCAAGCTGAGCTGGACGCGCTCAAGAAGTCTAGGGAGAAGGATTGTGAAGACGCCAATAATGCCGGCTTCAAAGAGGCGGAAGACAACTATAAAAAACAAGTATTCGCCACCCAGGACATTTATTTCAAGGTCGGTTGGAAGTCTGCCTGCCAACAGCTCGGTCAAGGTCCTGACACTGACGTGTTTGCCTCTCCACCGGCTGTCTTCCTACCGACCTACCTCATTCCATACGCCAATGACGTCTTCAATGCGCTGCAGGCTGAGGCCGAGGAAGGACTCGAAGAAGCCGAGGCAGACGCTGAGGGAGATGACCAGACCAAGCAAGAGCAGCCCGGCCAGACTGGAACCGGTGTCCAGGACCAGACAGCAACGGTCAACCTGGAAGCTGATAAGGAATTCCCAGACCTCTCCCCCTTAGCTTAGTTTTTTTTTTTTTTCTTTTTTCTTTGTCTGTAAATGTAACCGGGCTAAGTTCCCCACCTTTTGTATTAACTTTTTATCAATGAAAAGCTTTAATTTCATCAAGTGTTTGCACGATTTTCTCCAACTCTTAAGCAAAACATGTCGCTTTGAACCACTTGGCCTGACCGAAATTCACATTAGGGTATAAGTAGCAGAATTGAGCTCCTTTAACCGAAATAACCATCTCGGTTAGAACAACAAAGTTGAACAAATCACCAACTCTCTCAACCGGAATAATCCATCTCGGTTGAGAATACCTAAGCTGAATAAAACATCAACTTCTTCAACCGGAATAACCATCTCGATTGGAACAACAAAGTTGAACAAATCACCAACTCTCTCAACCGGAATAATCCATCTCCGTTGAGAATACCTAAGCTGAATAAAACATCAACTTCTTCAACCGGAATAACCATCTCAGTTGGAACAACAAAGTTGAACAAATCACCAACTCTCTCAACCGGAATAATCCATCTCGGTTGGGAATCCTAAGTTGAGCAGGTCATCAACTCTTCCAACCGGAGTAAATCATCTCGGTTGGGAAACTCAAAACAGAGCAATAATCAAAATGCCAAAGCAAAGAAGACACTTCTATATATTGACAAAAAGAATTACATTGTGAAGTGTAAGCCAAAAAATTCCTTTGCACAAAAAGAAAGCTAAAGCTAGAAATAATACAGTTTGAGGTTGGCCACATTCCATGGCCGGGGTATTCCTCTACCATCGAGATCTTCCAAGTGGTATGCCCCATTGCCCGCCAGACCGGTTATCTTGTAGGGTCCTTCCCAATTTGCCCCTAGTTTGCCTTCACCTGGTACCAGGGTGTTGCCCATAACGGGTATTGCCCATGACCTTCCTCAAGACCCAATCACCAACTTTGAACGGTTTGGGGTGCACCGTTTTGTTGTATTTCCTTGAAAGTTCTTGTTGGT